TAACTACTTACTAGTACTACTACTATATACTAGTAGTACTACTACACACACACACACACACACACACACACACACACACACACACACACACACACACACACACACACACACACACACACACACACACACACACACACGCTGGCATTCTGACTTCATCCCTGGGCACAGCACATAAATCTTCCCTAATAACAGCGGTGGCATTTCAGCAACAATAGGGATTACACACAACCTCTGTCGGATGGTCGACCAGCCAGAACACACACACACACACACACACACACACACACACACACACACACACACACACACACACACACACACACACACACACACACACACACACACACATGCACACACACACACACATACATACACACATATACATACACACACACACAAACACACACTCGAGATACACAATACGTCGCAAGTTCCTCAAGTTCCACTAGAAAAAGAGGGAGTCGGAGACAAAAGTGGAGGCAGAGAGAAAAAACCTCCCTTGATTGTTGTGTTCTCTTTTCAGACCAAATTCACACAGTGCGGGTTCATATTATAAACGGGCATAAGTTGTTTGGGGGCTATATGTGGTTGTCTTGCTTTTACACCAAATCACAAAATCGAAGTTTCAAATGTGCAGATAATCCCACAGGTTGAAAATGAACCACCACTTTAATCAGATTGTTTAAAACACATCATGCGGGGGTACAAAGCAAGTAAGCACACCTGGATTGTTGTGAATAATACTTTTTGCTGAAGAATACTTGGTTCAAAAATCCTGTTGAAATGTTAATCTGGCCCTAAAATGTGATTAATGTCCCCAGATGTCCCAGTTTGGTGATACATTTGGTTTTATCTTTGGCCATCAACGTTAATGCGCTAACGCTAGTGATTCATCTATAAACATTAACGCTTTAAAAATACTTCCACGTGCAATGCTTTATTTCCCCCCAAAATACATACAAATACACGTTTTTTGCCTTTATCTCTTCATATCTCTTATTCATAAATCAATACATAAAGTACAATGCTGTCAGCGCCAATACTACCTTCTTATAAACTGTAATTATTCTCTAACCAACTGCAGTCAGCATTTAGCACTTTGTGATATTAAGCAGCTATGAGTACTTTGTGCCCATGTTCCACAATGAAAGCCTTCCTGGGAATTAATCAAAAGGTTCCCCCTTAACTGTATAGTCTTGCTAATCCAAATATTATCCACGGCGCTGTGTCAGCACTGGAGAAAGGGCTGGCTCCACATATTATCATACTTGCACCGAGTAAAACCACTGTGGCTTGTTTTTATTTCTTTCAACCAATCACAGTCTTAATTGGTGCAATAAGCACAGGAAGCTTTAAAGGTGGGGTAGGTAATTTTGGAGAAACCAGCTCGAGTGCGCTAGAATTTGAAAATACACAGCCGGAAGAAATCTGCTACTTCCTTACAGACCCCCTTCTCCAACACACACGAACGCGCACGTGACCAATGAGGGCACGAGATAAGTTTGTGCACGGATGGAAGGCTGACAGGCAGGTAGGCCATCCAGATATTCTAGCCGGGCCGGCTAAAATGATTGGTTGTGCTTTTTACAGTGCTACGGCTTCCACAGATGACATTTTGTTATGGACTTTTTGTCAAAGCACTTCAGATATGTATCTATCTGGATGTTAAGAGCATTCCATTGAATATAACAAAAAGTGTATCTCGAGCCGGTTTCTCAAACTTACCCCACCTTTAACTGTACCCCTTGCTAAATTGTATCGGAAGTGAGGAAGAATGCTGCCCAATAGTTGAAGGAGCAAATGGCAAGCTTACCCAGAGCATACATCAGAGAAATTGGATTGGGGCCTGAAATGCCTCCATTGGACTCCCTTGGAACATAGTGACATCACTATGTAACACTTGCATTTCTATTGGTTAGCAATCCAACATATGCTACATAATAGGCCAAGGGATGGAACATGTCTAAGCGGTTGACACATAACAACAGAGCCGGTCAGCTAACCAATCAGAGCAGACTGGGCTCTGGTTTCAGACAGAGGGTTAAAAGAGGTGCTGCAGAGCTCAATTCAATTCAATTCAAAACCTTTATTTATTCAGGTGAAAACCCATTGAGATCATTGACCTCTTTTTCAATGGTGACCTGCTGCAAGTAGGTTCCAACATGAATACAAACATGACAGAAAAACAAAGAGGACATCATATGGCATATTTACATTGACTACAGTTTGTATAGCTAGTAGCATTTACAGATACCAACAGTTTCCGATTGGATAGCATCTATCCTTGCTTTAAAAACATGCAATGGAACCAAACTGCTCAACTTCCATTCCTTTTGCAGACTGTTCCAAGTTAGCGGAGCTGCGCATCTAAAAGCTGTATTCCCTAAGACAGTCCTAGCAGTTGGCACATTTAATACAACCACAGCATTCGATCTCAGGCGGTAGCCATTTACAATACGCCGTGAGATCAAGGCGCAGATGTAGGATGGAAGTTTCCCTAACATTGCTTTGTAAATGAAAAGATACCAGTGATTGAGCCGCCGTACGTACGCCGTAGCTTTTTGAACATTAAAGCATGGAAAGATGTCAAAGTAGAGGCATAAAATACAATGAACCTATACATGAGCATAATAAGTCCTCTTTATTGCTGTAATTGTTTTATTTTATGTTGAGCACTTTGAATTGCCTTGTGTTGTACTGTATGAATAATCTCGCCTGTTAATACAACTTTTATTTCCGATGAGCTTAGATTCACCACATTAAAACCCCAAACATATAAAAACGCATGCATGTGTGTGCATTTCAAAGATCATAAAGGTCCTCAGGCAGCTGGATGCTCTTGATTTTAACAACCATGGGAACCTTTTTCATCCGAACAGCTCTGCATGTTGTTAACAGCACTCCAGTGAACACAGCAGCAGACGGGAAGTACAACTTCAATATCAGCTGCTGGTAATTCAGCTCAAGGAGTACTTTAACATCAATTGATATCAATAGATTGAGTGAGATGCCGGTATAAAGTCAATTTAGAAAAAGGCCACTTACACTCGCTAAAATGCTCCACTTTTTTCTATAACGTACACTATATGAATCAACAAACCTGAGCGTATTGCATTGGTATAAACTGAAATGGATTTCAGCCCTAAATTGCCAATTGGCCAGCCTGGATCTGGAATTACACCCCTGGAGTTGGTGAAAATGTCTTCCTTAAACGTACTGCTCCACCAGGCATGCTTATCCCAACTGTTGATGGGGAGAAAAAGCAGAAATGTGTCCTCCTAAATGTGTTCTGCCCCTGCTATGACAACAGTGTGTCCCACACTTAATGTGCTAATGAGGAATGGTGAGTGTTTCTGAAGCGTCACCACGAATAATGGAAATTTGTCTGGTAGTTTGTGAGACTAGTCACACTATTCATCACTGTCATCCTGTCTCAATCTCCATCTGGCGGAGTTACATAATGAAAAAAAATTGTTCTGCTCCAAAACATCGACAGTAACTTTACTTAAAGAGGCCCTATTATGCTTTTTCAGGTTTTCCTTTTCCTGTAGTGTGTTGTATAGGTTTTTAAGGTCTAAGGGGTGGGACATCTCTAAGTTGTTGACCAATCACAACAGCTTAACCGTGTCATTCAAATCCAAATTAACTTATCAAACTAACTTTTAACAATGGACTCAGATCTCCTTATATATCTGTCGTGTTTCACCAAAAATAACGTCATTTAGTAATATCATACCTTATTAAAAATGAGTGGGCATTTCGACAGGCAGTGGTTTGGGATATTATTCAGTAATATTACACAACTTACTTATGCATTAAATCTGATGTGTACTTTCACTATGGTCCTGTTGAAGGATGCAAAAAAGGTCAATGAAGTTTGTTTTGCAAGCCAAACAACAACAAGGTGATTCAATTGAACACATTTTTATAATAATGATGATTAAAATATTAATATATTCAATTTATATGGATTTTTTCTAAATACCCAAAGACACTTTACAATAGAAAGTAGATAAAGAAAAACGTCTATTGTTTACTTCCGGAACAAAGGGACATCACTATGAAAAAATCGCTCTGCTATTGGCTAGCACTCCAACACATTGTATGTAGATAGGCTAAGAAGCGAGACTGTTACGGTGTGGGAAGGAAGCAGGACCCAAATGCAGATTAAAGTGACAAAAATAACTCCTTTATTTCAAGGCTAGACTATTCCCAAAGACTGAACAGAACACACCGCAGGCAAAGTCAATACACAAGACAAACCGACAAAGACAGACAGAAAAAACAGAACTTAAATACACACAAGACTAATCATACAAACAAGACACAGCTGAGGAGGGAGGAGAAAACACAGGGACACCAGGTGAACACAATCGGGTAAATTAGACACACCAGGGAAACTAACGACAGGGAACCACAGACAGATCAAAACAAGACAAAACACAACGCAGACAGAAAAAAAAATACAGATCTAGACAAGACAAAACACAACACAGACAGATCGTGACAGAGACATCTCTAAGCGGTTGACCAATCACAANGTGTGCCTTGGCAGTATAATAACTACACAGAAGACATGACCCAAATCTGAGAGCTTTTGTTAGTGAGGAGGAGGGGAGGGGCTTCATGCATCTGAACATCACTCCTGCAGCTAAACTACTTTGAGGGGTTGGATACAAAACAAACTAAAAACATTAACTCTAGGGCTCGGAAATATGGCAAAAAAAACTTCTATCCTTCTATTTATATCTCAACAATGATATACAATTCAGCATAGTAATCAATATATAAACAATTTAGATTAAAACAAATCACATGGTTAACCCTTTTTTAAATACTCCTGCGTAAATTACGTACTTTTTCCATTTGATTTAGAACTGTATTGCAACAGCTTCAAGAGTCATTATAGGGAACAATTATATATATATATGTTTTGCTATTTACTGTTTTCTTCACATGCATGCACAAAAACACAAATAATCTAATAAACTTTTTTTTAAATATATATGTTTTGCTATTTACTGTTTTGTTTTACATGCATGCACAAAAACAGTCATCAAAATATATATTTTTTAAAATGACATTAACTCTAGTTTGTTAATTGCAAAGAACTGTGATCTAAAAACCAAACAGCAATATTCAAAAGGTGTTCCTTAAAAGAATTGCATTATATATCAGAGACATTTGAGTTAGTATGTGCTAGCAATTGAGACGATGTAACAGTGCATGTAATCGTGTGCAACGATATCTGGATTTACGATGTTAGCATGTTCTAATCATTATCATACTGTATTATCACCGAGCCCTAATTAACATCGCTTCACAACAGAACTGGTGTGAGGCGTTTACAGACTACATGCAAACAGTCAAGCTATGATAAAGGTTAAATCAACCCACTCCAGAAACATCCAACAACAACGAATCTAACATGACTTTCAAAGCTTTGGATAAGACGGTGCATTAAGATAAAGAAGGCACTGAATAATAAATACAGATGCATGATGACCAACAGATCACAGTGTTGTCAGGCAAACACATCATCACAACACAAACCCAGGACATCCAACAGCGACATGCAAACTACTACCAGTTAGTAAGGAAGAGTACAAAGGATTATGGGAGGGAAGATGATATGATAAACAGCCAGAGCATCACCCACATCTACCATGCCATGCATCACGGCTCTACTGGAACTACTTCTACTGAGAGCGATGATACGTACCACCACTCCTTTGTAAGGAGCTGAGCACCTGAGCGGTAAGTGCCAGTAGTGCTACAGAGAGACAAGGAACACGCCGGGTTACCCCAAGGGATTACTTTAGCAATGGAGGAAGAAGTACTCAGAAGTTTTCCTCAAGTAAAAGTAGGAATATTACATTTTAAAAAGTACTTTGTTACAAGCAAAAGTCCTGCTTTCAGAACCGTACTCTTCTTGAAAAATGTAAACAATGTTTGTGGGTGCAAAATATCATCTAGCACAGAGGTGTCAAACTCAATTTCATCGCGGGCCACGTCAGCATTATGGTTGCACTCAAAGGGCCGGTTGTAACTATATAAATATATAATATATACATATATAATATATACATATATAAATATATAATATATACATATATAATATATACATATATAAATATATAATATATACATATATAATATATACATATATAAATATATA